GCCTGCCACTGAGATCTATAAAGGAAGTACTTGTTTTGTCATCAAAACTTGAGTAGACCCCTAAGAAAGTGACATCGTTTACCTAGGAGTGAATGTATCAATAACAACAGGATTGATTGGCCCTGTGGTCACCAACAGTATAGAGATTCACAGCAAAGTGTGAGGTACCAAGAAAGCCTTGTCCATCTCTGGGTTCCTTGGCTTGGCATGTCTATAGGGGGTGAGGATGAGGACCCTCTAGGCTCCAGGAGCTGTGAGCAACTTCTTGGTGTGTGCTGTTTAGGAACCTGAGAAGAATATCCATGTTCCATTAGTAATGATGGCTAATATTTTCTTGACAGTTAGCTGGATGTTACACATTGATCCCGGTGTTTTGCATATCCTAACTCATTTATAAAATTCTTTTATGCTATGTGTACTATCTCAGTTTATATATGAGAAAACTGAAGCAATACAGTTTAAGTAACTTGCCCAAGGTCACATGACTAAAAAGTGATGGAAGATGTCATCCCTGATACTCTGATTTCCTAGTTTGTGTTCTTTTTTTTTGTTTTGTTTTGTTTTTTTTCGGGGGGGGGGGGTCCAGTCGTGGGGCCTGAACTCTGGGCCTGGGCACTGTCCCTCAGCTCTTCAGCTCAAGACTTGCACTCTACCACTTGAGTCACAGCACCACTTCCGGCTTTTTTCTTTTTGCTTATGTGGTGCTGAGGAATCGAACCCAGGGCCTCAGGCATGCAAGGTAAGCGCTCTACCACTGAGCCAACTTCCCAGCCCCTAGTTTGTGTTCTTTACCACAGCCCATTTCCCTTCCCTGAAAACAACTTTCTGATTGTTGGGCTTTTCCATATTGGTAATCTACAAAGAAAGAGTATTAGTATTTGAGTAGACTTGCTGCAGCTTAAAAAAAATGTTTATTGGCAGCTAAAGAATTTAAGTGGACTTGTTGCAGCTTAAAAGTGTTTATTGGCAGTTAGATGTTATATAGATACTGGGTTTCTTCTTTTGCAAAATGAAAATCTACTATTATGAACCCATACAAGACAGTACCCAACTAGACTCCATAGTTCACTACAGTCACCCTACTACAATGGGTGCACAGCAGTGGCCACACAGCACATGAAACAGGTAGTTCTCCACCATCCTCTTATACCAAAGGCAAAATAGACTCAGGTTGTGTATATGGCTTGTTGACTGCATGAGCTATGGAAATATCACTGTTAATTTATTTCATTGTTATATAGGAAAATATTAAGAAATGAGTACATTAACATCTTAAAATATCAGGTTTTATAAGATTGGGAAGTATGGGCTGTTTCTAAAGCTGGGTTTGCCTTGGAAAACACCTTTCCTGAAGGTGTGGTTGAAACCTCTTTGTGAGTTTTGAAGCAGAGGGTAGCAAATGTCATGGGTGGAGAGTTCCTAGCTGTCAACTCTGCTGTCAACTCTCCCCTATTCATGCCAAATCTTGCACCTTGGCATCTGAAGGTTTATAGTTAAGATCAATTCCACTGCAGTTTAGTTTGTGCACCAGAGGACAGAAAAGATAAGGGACCATTTTCCCCCAGAGCCTGCAGGGGGCAGTTACAGAGAATTTGCTCGATGCTGATATCCTGGTTGCATTTCCTGGATTTTTTTTTTTTAGCATACATTTTTTATTGTAAAGATACTGTACAGAGGAATTACAGTTACACGAGTAAGGTAATGAGTACATTTCCTATCGAGCATTGTTATCTCCTCCTATGTTTTTCCCCTACCATCCCTTCTGGCCCCACCTCCCCAACTCTTCCCCCCTCCCCCCAAATTGTAAAGTTTGTTTTCAACATAGTTTGTAGTACATATCATTGTTACAATGGGTCATCCTGTATACTTCTTTCAGCATTTTGTTATTTCCCTTCCCATCCCCAAATTAGAAAAATGTATATACAAGATACAGGGCACTGGAATCAAATATAGTGAAAACAGGGGTTGTACCATGGGGGAAGAACATACAAAAGAAATACAAAATCACATAGTACATTATAAATACATTAGAAACAACAGCAAGAAAAATAAACCTCTTGTGTCCCTATCTTGGAGTTCACTTCACTTAGCATCATCTTATATAGTCATATGTACATAGCTTTTGACTTTTTCTGCTTGTCCTAGACATATACTAGTTATTGCTAATAAGGGAAAACATGGGACCTATGTTTCTTTGGGCTTGGCTTACTTCACTTAATATAATTTTTTCCAAGTCTTTCTATTTCCTAACAAATGGAGAGGTATCATTCTTGCTGATGGAGGCATAGAATTCCATTGTACATATATATGTATATATATATATATATGTATATATATATGTATACACACACACACACACACACACACCACATTTTCTTGATCCATTCATCTACTGAGGGGCATCTGGGTTGGTTCCATATCTTAGCTATGGTGAGTAATGCTGCGATAAACATAATTGTGCTGGTAGCTGTAGTATGTCCTTGTTTGTGATCGTTTGGGTAAATGCCCCAAAGTGGTATTGCTGGGTCATAGAGGAGCTCTATGTGGAGTCTTTTGAGGAACCTCCATACTGCTTCCCAAAGTGTTTGAACAAGTTTACACTCCCACCAACAATGCAGTAGGGTTTCTTTTTGGCCACATCCCCTCCAGCATCTGTTGTTATTAGACTTCTTGATTATAGCCATTCTAACTGGAGTGAGGTGGCATCTCAGTGTGGTTTTGATTTGCATTTCTTTTATGGCTAGAGAAGTTGAGCATTTCTTCATGTGTCTATTGACCATTCTTATTTCCTCTTCGGAGAAATCTCTCTTAAAGTCGTTAGCCCACTTATTAATCAGGCAGTTGTTTCTTTGAGATTTGTTGTTGGGGGATTTGGGCTTTGTTTTCTCTGCTGACTGTGAAGCTCAGTCCAGTGCTTTCAAACCTTGCAAAGCCAAATAATGTATTACATTTTGTAGGAAAATGCACATACACCCTACAATTCCATTCAGGATTTCCCAGGATCATTTGTGTGATAGAAGTCAGGATAGTAGTTATCTATTAAGGGGATTGGCACGAGACAGCCTTCCAACAATGCCAGAATGTTTCCCTGTTGTAAGGCCACTAGTTAATAACAAATCAGTTTTTCCACAGGAAAAAAGGGAAGGAATAAGAGAGGGAATAGATGTATAAACAGACAGACCTACATTGAGAGACTGAGATTGAAACCAGTTTGTAGCCTATAGTAACCATCAGAACCATTTTCTAAAGTGTCTTTCTGGAACTTAATATTCTCCACTGTTGGCTGCCAATAAAGACTCTGCTCAAATGTTGAAGGGGGTGATGCTGATGAAGATTCATTGTATTAACACACTATTTTGTTATATGCCACCTCCTTTGTACAACTACTTAAAGATAAGAAAAAAGTTCTAAAGATGAGGAAAATGCTGTTTTACAAAGAAAGCAGGCTACTTCATTGTGGGAGTCTCGAAGTCTTTAATGGGTGTATTAGTCAGCTTTCCATCATTGTGACAAAATAACCTGAGATACTTATCAACTTATAAATAAGAAAGGTTTATTCTGTGACATCTCCCCATTTGTTAGGAAATGGAAAGACTTGGAGAAAATTATATTAAGTGAAGTAAGCCAGGCCCAAAGAAACACAGGTCCCATGGTCTCCCTTATTTGCAATAACTAGTATATGTCTGGGACAAGCAGAAAAGCTCAGATAAGATGATGTTAAGGGAAATGAACCCCAAAATAGGGACATAAATGGTTTTTTATTCCTTGCTGTTGTTTCTAACATATTTATAAGGTACCTTGTGATTTCTTTGTCGCTTTGTATGCCCTTCCCCCATGTTATAACCCCTGTTTTCACTGTATTTGATGTTGGCATAATTTGGAGAGGGGAAGGGAAAAATCAAAATATTTAAATAGGGTTACAGATTCACCCATTGCAACAATGAGATGTACAAGACACTATGTTGAAAAACAAATTTTACAATTTAGGAGTGGTTTGGGGGCGGTGGGAGGGTGTAGTTAAGGAGGTGGGAGGGAAGGGATGGTAGGGAAAAAACAAAGGAGGAGACAACAATGCTGGATAAGAAATGTACTCATTACCTTGCTCATGTAACTGTAGCCCCTCTGTACAGTATTTTCACAATAAAAAAACTTATTAATAAAAAAGGAAAGGTTTGTTCTGGCCCACACTTTCAGAGGTTTTAGTCCGTGGTTCTTAACCTTATTGCTTTGGACCTAGGAACATCATAGTGGAACAAGCCTGCTCAGCTCATCATGGCCAGAAAACAGAGAGCCAGGAAGGGACTTGGGGGTGGGGGCGGGGGGAAGCAATATCTCCTTGATATTGCTCCTGCGAGCTGACTTTCTTCATGTAGACCCTATACTCTAAAGGTTCCACCAGTTCCCAGTAGTGCCACAGGCCAGCAACCATACCCTTAATACTTGGGCTTTCTGAAGACACTTCTAAACCAGTGCAGTCAACATGGTGACTCCTCAAAAAGGCTATTGCTAGCAGGATTTTCTGCATTCATGTGACCCCAGAGTTTTTTTTTTTAATATCAACATAACTCACAGAACTGCCATCCTTGTGCTTCGAGTTGGGAAACTCTTATTTGAAAGATGGACAACAGCTGCCTATACCTGTGTCCTCTATAACTCTTGATAACATATCATGGTAGCCAGTGAAGGAAACCGAATCTGAAAATTCTTTCAACATTTTATAATCCCACTGTTAGAATATTTTAAAGCAGTTTTTTTTTTTTTTTGTTGGAAACAAAGGATACAATTGCAGAAAGTGTTAGATAGGCTAATTTTCATTTTGGCTAGTTTGTGGTAACTACTGCCAGGGGAAATACACACACAGTGTTTAGTCATACATATATAATCATACATGTTTGTCCTGATCCTCTAGAAACTGTACAGTTATATGAGTACTTTAAACAAACCAGCGGGTCATTTCAGATGAATAATAGATTGTTTTCTCTCTTTTGGATAGGAAAAAAATGTCCATACTCACTTCTCCCAGAGGGAAGGTAGAGGTGATTCATTGCCGCAGAACAGAATCACAGGATATTTATTGTATCAAAAACCTCATCAGAAAATTTACCCAGAAACTGTTTGGGAGACTTAATATCATCTATCTTCTGTAAGTATATAACTGAGTAAATTCATGAGTGTTTATCCATTTTATGACATGACTAGCCATGTGGCAGAACATTTGCCTAGCATGCATAAGGCCCTAGGCTTGATCCTCAGCACTAGAAAACAAAGTTAAGAATTTTATTATCCTTTGTCCTCATGGGACTTAGGTTGGAGAAACAGGCAGCTCACAGTGTAGTAAAAAAAAAAATGTATAGCAACAAATCACTGGGAACAACCAATCTCTGTGTCTAATGAATGCAAATGGAAAGACTTCTCATGGGCTCTGTGAAAACTTCAGCTGCCCCGGCCCCTTGTGGAGGCACTTAGGACAACCTAATAATATTACTGGTCAGATTTTGAGAATTTCTTTTATAAGGCTCTGTGCTTAGCAGCATTATCTTACTGATTCTGAGATGCCTGCTGTGCTCTCATGACCATTTTACATAGGAGTTGGACATAAGTGGCTGAGCCTGGGTTTGCTCTTACCTGTTGCTTAAAATGTTCTAAACTTGAAAATATAGATTTAATTTTCTTAAAATATCTGTCCTTCCTTTCTGTTTAATTATAGATGACTATGGACACTAAAACTAGTAAGACAGTAAACAAAAGCCAACTATATGTATATATATATGTATATATATGTATATATATATATATATATATATATATTTTTTTTTTTGTCAGTCTTGGGGCTTGAACTCTGGGCCTGCACTGCCCCTCAGCTCTTCAGCTCAAGGCTAGCACTCTTATCACTTGAGCCACAGCGCCACTTCCGGCTTATGTGCTGCTTATGTGGTGCTGAGGAATCAAATGCATGTCCTCATGCATGCAAGGCAAGCACTCTACCACTGAGCCACCTTCCCAGCCCCCAAATGTATTTTTATAAACACCACAAACAACGAATAGAATATATTTTACCATTTACACTCATGCTCAAGAGAAAAGGTTTTGGCCCACCTTAGAAATCAGCATACTTTTGAAAAGCAAAATAATATGTATATGGTCATTTACTGGAACTTCCAAAACAGATATAGGTAACCCAAATAGTCTGTTTCTTTGACAGTCCAACCTCAAGGTTTAACAACTAATTTCTTTTCTCATCTATTTATATTTTTTAATGGATTGCTCAGGCACAGAGATACAGAATGAATAAAGTCAATTTCACTTAAAAATCTAGCTACATTTTAAAGGTAAAAATGAGTGGATTTGGCAAGGCAGAGAATAAGGAATGAGCTGGAAGCCACCTCCAGGTCCAGAGCAGACTCCATGGAGGCGATAAGAGAGAACAGGGCACTGCCTGTCTCCCATCTGTGTATGATGGATGCTAGGCAACACCAAGGTGTCTTGTTTGCGAAGTTAAAAGAAAGGCAGATGTTCTTACACCAAGATCTCCATCTAGTGCACTTAAGTAAGTGTTGCTGCCCTTAGGAAATTTACTAAACAAATTGAACGAATGCAGCTTTAATGAAATGAGCTCTAATTTCTATTATCAGAACATAATTTGTGTATGCATTTGTATATACATTATATATACATCTGTATATAATAATTTATACATTAACAGTGTTTCTGTAGTTTTGGTTACTACAAAGAGCGATTTAAATCTAGTTGGTAATATGTCTTCTCTCCCTTTCGCTTTTTCTTCCTCTGGGCTCCCATTTTTTTTTACTCCCAAAATGGTTTTTATCTGCCCTGTAAAATAGTAATGACTAAAGAAATAATAGCAGGTAGACATTATATACACAAAAGGATAATGTTACAAAAGTTACTTTTTGTGATAGGTAGCCATTTGGAAATTGTAGAGCGTTTTCCCATTGAGACAAAGTTTTGCTGGCTGGTTTCCCAGGCCAACTGGCAAAAGCTTATTTAATCTATACTGTCTGTGCAGGGTGGTACCATGCTAATTACACTACAGAGCCCAAGCACCATCCCCACGGTTCCCATGGATAAATGCATGTCAAGTTAAAGATTCCAGGAATACAATGTCTCTTCTTCCCTGAGAGGATGATGGCCGCCCTCTCCCCACCACCTCTCCCTTACCATCACCACTACCATGATCTTTCTTTCTTTCTTTCTTTCTTTCTTTCTTTCTTTCTTTCTTTCTTTCTTTCTTTCTTTCTTTCTTTTTTTCTTTCTTTCTTTCTTTCTTTCTTTCTTCTTTCTTTCTTTCTTTCTTTCTTGTGCCATGGGTGTTTTCTCATCTGAACCAGCCTGAGGCCATAAGTCATGGTTCTGGGAACCCAGGGCAGCAAAGTCCCAAAGACCAAGAGCTGGAGGGAGATAATCTCAGGGATGGAATGAGGAGCAGAGGATTCATTGAATTCAGAACATGGAGGGCTGTATCCTCTTGCTAATGGGTCCCCTGTGTGGGTACTATATTCTAGCAACTGGAGGGACCATCCACTTTGATGGACTGCAGGTGCCGAGACTGACATCCTAAGCACAATGTTTCCCAGAGATGCTCTACTCCTAGTGACACTCAAAATGATTTTATATGACACATACATAAGCAGCTCTTGTTTTAAATGTTTCATCTTGTGGCACTGGAGTTGGAACTCAGGGCTTCAGGCTTGCTTAGCTTGCTTGCTCAGTTTGACATTCTTTTTTTTTTTTTTTTTTGGGTCCGGTCATGGGGCCTGAACTCTGGGCCTGGACGCTGTCCCTCAGCTCTTCAGCTCAAGGCTAGTGCTCTACCACTTGAGCCACAGTGCCCCTTCCGGCTTTTTTCTTTTTGCTTATGTGGTGCTGAGAAATCGAACCCAGAGCTTCAGGCATGCAAGGCAAGTGCTCTACCACTGAGCCACCTTCCCAGCCCCTCTTTTTTTTTTCATTGTGAAAATACTGTACAGAGAGGTTACAATTACATGGGCAAGATAATGAGTACATTTCTTATCAACCATTGTTGCCTCCTTTGTTTTCCCTTCCCATCCCTTTCCAACCCCCCCCCACCACGCCCAAGTTGTAAAGATCATTTTTCCGACATAAGGACTTGTACATCTCATTGTTGCAGTTTGACATTCTTGAGCCATGCTTCCAGCCCAGCTATTTGCTGGTTATTTTGGAGAAAGAATCATGAGGACTTTTGTACCAGAGCTGGCTTTAAAACCGTGATCCTTCAGATCTTAGTATCAGGAATAGCTAAAATTAAAAGCAAGAGACACTGGTCCTAGCTAAAATTTTATTTTTTTTATAAAAGTGTCTTCCTAGTGATAGCAAAGGATAGCAAAGCGTTCCATTTATAGTATAGATGGAAATTTTCTGTTAAAGTATTTCTATTTAAGTCAAAAATAAATTGTTTTAAAGAAAAATATGATGTTAAAAGTACGGGAAGCTTATAGGTATTAAAGGATTGTTTGATGAACTATTCTAGTAATGTGATACACTATCATATCGAAAAAACAGGTCATAAACATTATGGATCATGTAGTTCCATCTTTAAAAACAAAGTATATTTCCACATAGAGCTACCCTCCAGTATTAAAAATAAAAGTCTCAACCAGGCATAGTGATGTACTTGGGTAATTCAAAAGCAGGAAGATAATGAGAGTTCAAAGACAGCCTGGGCTACATAGATCTTATCTAAAACCAAATCAAAGAAATATAATCCAGGCCAGGTGCTGGTGGCTCACGTCTGTAATCCTAGCTACATAGGAGACTGAGATTTGAGGATTGTGGTTCGAAGCCAGCCCTGGCAAGAAAGTCTATGAAACTCTTATCTCCAATAAACTACTCAGAAAAAGCTCAGTATGGCTCAAGTGTTAGAGTGCTAGCCTTCAGAATAAAGAGGCTCAAGGATAGCACCCAGGCCCTGAGTTCAAGCCCCAGGGACAGAATACTGATGGATATACAATAGCCCATGTCACCTCAGTTTGCTCAGGACTTAGCTGGTTTTAGCATTGGAGGTCTCATGTCCTGGGAATCCCATCAGTCCTGTGCAGAGGGACCATTGGCCATCCTAAATGTGAGTTTAGACTGACACAGGTATTGGTGACATGGAGATTAAGATAGGGAAAACTACAGTCGTATTTTCCTAGCCAGTTTTCCAAGGAAACAGCTGATTCTACAACTATATCATCGATCTAGTGAAAAGTAATTTTAAATAAGAATTGAGTGGATGATAACAAATATTCTTCAAGTTCAACCCTCAGCTGGCTGCAGTGTCATTCTTGTCTCTTGAAATGTTAGCCCTCAGGCAGTAGAGACTAACTCCAGGAGCCCAGGGAGGGAGAAAATGACCTATTTCTCACTTCCGCTTTGGTCATCTTGATTCATGTGTTCGATTTGTATTCATTCCACAGAGAAAAGGCAAACCTTGCCGTCACCCTCTGCAATGACAAAGAGGAGATCATGGCCCAGGCCACCTTCGTGGACTATCCCAACTGGAATGTTGCCAGGCAGGATGGCTGGATTTCTGTGTTCCGTGAGATGGACAAAGACCTCCCATGCACAGTAAGATTTCCATCTCCCCACCCCTCCCCCACCTCTCCATGCCTGTCAGAACAGCCTTAACCCGGAGGGGAAGACCTGGGTTTACAATGCTGTCATTTCAGCTCTTGGACTGAGAAGTCCAAAATCCACAGAAAATATATGACAGTTCAAACTGATGTGAGCTGGGGGTAGCAGCATAACCTAGTCAACCAGGTGCTGGCAAGGCTTGGCCCTTGCTCTGCTAATGAGAAATGGGAGCAAGGAATTCATGGAAGTGTCAGATGTTTGCATCCTGCTGTCTCTGAGGTTTTGTTAGGCTTTCAGGGCCTCTGTCACCTACATAGTTGCCCTTGTAATAATGACAACAGAACCTTGGACTTAAGTCATATTCTTTGATTTACAAGGTACCCTTGCAGAGTGTGACTTATTTGATGTCTTCTAGCTGCAGTTACATGACAACCTGTCAGCTCACTGGAATTAAGTCAGTAGTTTCTGAGAGTCCACCCTGGGTACTCTTTTTTTTTTTTTTCCAATCCAGTTGTAGGGCTTGAACCCAGGGCCTGGATGCTGTCACTGAGCTTCTTTTGCTTAAGGCTGGCACTCTATCACTTAAGCCACAGCGCCACTCATGGCTTTTTCTGTGTGTATGGTACTGAATCGAATCCAGGGCTTCATGCATGCTAGGCAAGCAGTCTACCACTAAGCCACATTCTCAGCCCCAACCTGGGTACTCTTGAGTGTGGTCTATGAGAGCCAGGCCAGGGGCAGTCCCAGTTTCTGCCCTCATCTTTGACTAGTGTATCCCAAACGCCTTAATGTGAGGAGAAAGAGAAAATATTGATTGGATGCATGGATACTGGTGGCTGATACTTGTAATCCTAGCCATTCAAGAGGCTGAAATCTTGAGGACCAAAGTTTAAAGCCAGCCTTGTCAGACCAATCCGTGAGACTCTTATCTCCAGTTAACTAACAAAGAAACCAGAAGCAGAGGTATAGCTGGAGTGGTAGAATGCCAGCCTTGAGTAAAAAAGCTAAGCAAGAACTCCAAGTCTTGAATTCATGCCTCAGTTCCAGCATGCGCGTGTGTGTGTGGGTTCGCACGCACACACACACACACACACACACACACACACACACACACACACACACACACACACCTGTCATGGGAGTAAAGGAGTTAATACATTGAAAGTGCTTAAAATTCTGTCAGTATGGTTTCAATCCACAAATCAAACTCATGACTGTTTCTAAGTCCCACACCATCCACCAAGAGTGATACTGGCACACAATGTGGGGTTGGTAATCCAAGGCTATCTAGAGAACTATAGTTGGATCTGAATTTATGGTTCTCCATCTGAGGATTCCACCAGTTTCTCATAGAAAATGTTCAGAACAAATTGAGCATGTGCAGACTTTCTCCCTTATATAATACAGCATAACAACCATTTGCATAGCAATTATATCATATTTAGTTATTGTAAGCAATATAGACATATTTAAAATGTGTGGGAGGATTGCACAGGTTATATGCAAATTTTTTCCCTTGGAGGTACAAGGGATTGAATTTAGGACTTACTTTCTGGGCAAAGCACTCTCACTTAAGCCATGCCTCCAGCTTTATTGCTTTTGGTTTGTTTTTCCAGATAAGACTTAGGTTTCCTCACCCCCCATCCCCCAGGCCAACTTTGGGCCATCCTCCTATTTCTGCCTTCCAAATAGTTGTGATTATAGGTGATTATAGGTGTTACTCTGTTCTTACTTCAGTCGAGCATTTATGGATGGAACTGCAGAATTCCTGGAACCAATCCCCCAGTGAAACTGAGGGTTGACTGTACCTAGAAAAACAGGAGCTCAGACAGGTTGCTACTGTCCTGACAAATGTACAAGCACTGCCCTCTCGAGTCAATTACTTTGCATGAACTAAATTTTGGATTTGAAGATTTGCTTATGGACACAGTATTCTGCTATATGGATAGATAGAACTACACTACTATTTATTGTTTAAGCCAGTTAAACAGTCTTAACAAGTTATAGGATGAAAAACTCTTAAAAGTAAGGATTTACTCTGAAAGGCTATTAGAATCTTGTTAACTTTGAGCTTTCAGTTCCCAGGTTTTCTGCATCCTAAGAGTAATATTGGATTCGGACTCTGGGAATGTTCAACAAAACAAGCCTTTCGATCCCTAACGTGACATCTGCCTTCCATCCTTCAATTTCATAACAGAATCTTTCTCTCCCTCATGTCCTCTGAATAGAGCAGCAGCTGCTGACTCAGGAGCCCTGGAGGGAGGGCGATTGTCTTTCAGTTAGCATAGACACCCTTGGAGACAAAATGATGGAGTTCATAATTGATTTCACTCCCCTGCAGGCTCTTCCCTGCCCACAGTGCACCTGTGAGGGCAGGAAGGAAGAACACGGGTGCAGTAGCTTGCACCTCATTATGATCCCAGTTTTCTTAAATAATTCTCAGCTCTTAGGACAGAAGGCAACAGAAGGAGTTGTTACAGAGGACTCAAATGCCACCTGGATGTCTCATCCCTTAGACATGTGTCATCTCCAAATGCCTTTAGCCCTGAGTCTGACTGCCCTGATCACCTCTCCTCACACTGGCTGTGTACCAGGCAGTTTGCTGACTCAGTGTTTAATCTTAAGTCTTCCTTTTCTCCTGCAGCCTCTGAACACACTGTTCTTGCACCTGTTCGTGGCTGTTGATGAATATTCCACTGGCTGCTGCAAAGAGATCATCAAGTGAGTACAGAACTTTGTTCATAGGGAGCATGGAAGAGGTGTTGTGTACAGGTTTTTTTTTTTTCTTTTGTGCCAGTACTAAGGCTTGAACTCAAGGACTCAATGCTTTTCCTTGGCTATTCCAGTCACACCTAGTGCTCTGCCATTTGAGTTATGCCTCCAGTTCTCACAGTTTTGACATGCCATGTAATTCTTGGGGAGGGGGATTTCTTTTGCTTACTGTTCATGATTAATAAAAATAACTTTTTAACAGCCACAATATTGCTATAAGAAAATCAGCTGAAATTCTATCAATCTACTTTTCCATATAGTTCATGTCTATCACTGCTATTATCTGTGGTTAACAGGTAGAAGAGTCACTCAAAGAAATGAATTTTTGAGAGGTAGCAGAAGAGAAAAGTGTTACAAACAGATGTTTTGTTTCCCCCAAATGGGTTTTCTCCATGCCATCCTTAGCAGTGTGTTATCATGGCAGGCTGCAAAAGCATCCTGAATAATAAGACACCGGGAAAGATGATTCCCTAGGGCCATTGAGTCCTAGTGACATGATCCTGACAGCCGGCACAGACTTTTTTTCTTTTTTTGGGGGGGGGGGAGGTGCTCAGCTTTCAAGTCACTTTGTAATGTCACACCAAACTATCCAGATGCCAGGTCAAAGGTTAATGTCAGCAGAAATCTGGTGTGCCGTGTGGACATGGTGCCCTTTATTCCCTGGACCTCCATGGCACAGAAAGCTAAGAAGCCCTTTGCAATCGAAGAAAAACTGCCCTGGAAATGATCTGCATTCGCAGACAGAGAACAAAGGCGAACCTGTGGGTTTCTAGACACAGTTTTTCCAGTGGTGGCATTTGTCCCCCTAAACGGGCAACCTGATGGGATTGCTCTGTTATTAACACCAACTCTTTCCTCGCCAGGACAGTGTTTAAGACCGTGCCAGAACTGCACTATATATTCCTAATAGTGCCATCCTTCATGAGTCTAGGTAAGGCCCCTAGCCACCTCCTCTCCCCATAGCTGACATGGGGGACTCTGGTTCACAGTGCTACTCTTGGCAAGGGGGGAGAAGTGTAGTCTCCAGCTGTCAGTGTGTCATGTACATACCTAATTACAGCCATTCAAACATGATTTTGAGCTGGGCACCAGTGGCTCATGCTTGTAATCTTAGCTACCTTGGAGGCTGAGATCTGAGGATCTCAATTCTAAGCCAGACCAGGCAGGGAAATCCATGCGACTCTTATCTAGAGTTCACCACAAAGAAGCCAGAAGTGGAGCTGTGGCTCAAAAGGTAGGGCACTAGCCTTGAGCAAAAAAGCTCAGGGACAGTACCAGGCCCTGAGTTCAAACTTCAGGACACACAACACGCACACACACACACACACACACACACACACACACACACACACACACCAGGCCCTGAGTTCAAACTTCAGGACACACAAAACACACACACACACACACACACACACACACACACACACACACTCACACACGATTTTGAACAGAGATTACGTTTTAGTCTGAAGTTTCCCAAAGCTATTCCTTGATCAAATTATGTCATGTTTTTCTTCCTTTGATTTAGGTTCAACTCTCATAACTGTTTTTGACCAAGTGGGCACTGTTCCATCTCTGTCGTACAGTGAAGACTTTGCAGTATATATATGTTACAGGGAAAATCATTACCCCCAGCTACACATTCGCAGAGCCAGGTACAGTTGGATCAGTGTCTTAGTGCTCTTAAACCTAAGCTTGAGAACAGTTACTTTTATCAGTGTTGTTTTTCAATTTATTTTAATTTATTTTTATGTTTTGGGTGGCAGTACGGGGGTGTTGAATTCAGAAATTCTACCACTTGAGTCTCAGCCAGTTCTTTCTTTTAGTTTTTTCTTTCGTTTTAGTTATTTTTCAGATAGGGTCTCACACTTTTAATCCAGGCTGGCTTCAGATTACCATCCTCCTACTTTTGCCTCTCAGATTGCCTCTGAGATTATAGGCATGAACCAACAAAGCCTGCAGGACTAGCTTGCTGATGGTCCTCATTTAGTTCTTGGTGGCTGCAAAGCTATGCGTTTTCTACTAGAGGGTCCTAAAAACACAATCCTCACTTTCAAATCAAACAAACCTAAAAATGAATCTTCCTATTTAGTTTTCCCAGTAAAACTCACCTGTATTCTGACCCTTAGTGAATGAGGGTGTGATTAATCCCAAAGAGTGGTTTTTTTAAGCTGAATGTCTTCACCATCAGTAAGGCCCTCAAGTCTCTAAGTGACAAGTGGTGTTTTGAAAGATGGCCCCATTCTATCTCCCATCCTGCCAGATCCCCTACCATGTGACCTTGCCACTCCTCCCATTAATGAGTAGGCTCTGTGTCCTTTCTTTAAATCTGGGGAGATTATGCCTGCTTTCATAGTGGATCATGGTAGAAGATGCTCTGGACCTTGCAAGGCTGGGACACTTCTGCCTGCTTCTTTGGGATATTTGCTCTGGAGGAAATGAGCAGTGTATAAGAAAGTAGTCTGAGCCAGGCACTAGTGGCTCATGCTGGTACTCTTAGCTACTCAGGAGGCTGAGCTCTGAAGATTACAGTTTAAAGCCAACCTGAGTAGGAAAATCTATGAGACTCTTATCTTCAGTTAACCATCAAATCCTAGAAATGGAAGTGTGGCTCAAGTGGTAGAGTTGAACAAAATTGCTAACTGAGAATTCAAGGCCCTGAGTTTAAGATCTAGTCCTGGCACATAACAAAAAGGAAAGAAAGAGGTCTGATTGCCCTGAGAAGCTGTGCTGCAGAGTACATGGGTTGCCTCAGGCTTCAAGGGCTGAGAGCCTCTACACTTACATATAGGGATGTCATAAACTCCTTATATAGTACAATTAACGTGTGCTCTCATTGAAACTATTAAAGACTATTAAAACTAGAAAATTATTAAAACTAGAAAAGAGAGAAAAGTATGGTAGACGTTAGAGTCTCTAAAAGTGGCAGAAGATGCAGTGAAAGAATCTGATGGGAGTACCAAGTAGACTGTTAGATTCTTTGTCTTGAGAAGGCTGTGCTCCTGAGTCACATGTCAGTGTGTGGGTTTCAGAGGTTGCAGCCCAAACTGTCTCCTGCTGCCTGCATTGATGAGATATCACTGATACCTATTCCAAAACCCATGAGATAGAGACAGATGCCCAAGATCAGGAATGAGAGGAATTATTACTATAGGTCCAACAGGCAGTAAAAAGGTAAAAGGGAATGTTACAAACTAGTCTGCATCAACAAATCCAAAATTGTAGGTAAAATAGGTTCTTTGAAACCCCAAACTACCCAAACTTACTTAAGAAAAAATAACTTGAATACCTTTATATCAGTTGGGAGAAACATGTATCTGATATAGTTGTGATAGTGCGTATCTATAATCCCAGTCCTCAGGAGATGATGCAGGAGGATCCTGCTCAGCTTGGGCTATGTAGTGCAAAATAAGCAGCAGCAACAACAATTACATCTGTACTTAACATGTATGGCTTTACATAGCATTTGCATTGTATTAAATTAATCTTGAATTGATTTAAAGTACACAGAAAAATACATGTAGGTTATAAGAAATACTATGGTATCTTAGAGTTGGCATCCTCAGATTTTTTTTTTTTTGAGAGGGTTCTGGACCTAATCTTGAATGGTTATGGAAAGATAACTATGCTTGTAGATATACATACATATACATTGTATATAGATATGCATACACATACATTCTTATATGTATGTGCATAGTATTTTCATATGTCCTGTTAAGAAATTAGGGCAGGCATGCAGAATTCAAGAGTTAATGAGGTCATGGAGACTTCTCCTCACATTTTGATGGAAGGCCTGTGGAGAAGCCAGGCAATGTGTAACACAATCAAGATCCCCTCTAGGGAGCCATTAAGGTCAGAGTATGAATTTGTGAGGGTGAAGGTGAAAACAGTGATGACTCCAAGAAGTTAGTAATGCCAGGAACATGAATATCTTCTGAGGAAAGCCACAGGCAGTGAGCAGATCCAGCCCAAGAGGCAAAATAGGCTTTGAATCAGCAAGGCTGCAGCAGTACCCACTCCCTTTGGTGATTACATCACATACCAAGTACACTGGATGCCAGACATGAATCCACAAAATTTAATGTTTTCCCTGATACATTTGTGCTTTGCTTTGGTCCACTTCCTTTCCATGCCCTCCTTTCATCCTTTTGGGATGGAAATGTTTACTATGGGCAATTGTATGATGGAAGCCTCTAGTTTTCATTTAAATTCCACTTGTTGTGCACAGCTAAAAGTTTCCCTTGAGTCTCAGAGGAAACTTTGAACTTGGCCTTCGAACAATGCTGGAACTGCTAAAAGTATATGAGGACTCTCAATGACGGGCTGGATGTATTTTGCATTGTATAAGATAAACATGAGCTTTCACTGTGGTAAATGGCCTAGTATATATATCAGGTACTTTGTATGCTATTTTTTCCTGTAGTGTAGATGCTTAAACATGGAATTTCTGCATAATACCTAGAATTTCAAATAACTACTAACATTTACAAAATAGTATTAAACATTCAACAGAATATCATGTCAATGTATATTCTAACCAGCAGAGCTCTATTTCTATACACACTCATCAAAGCTGGATATTTTCATTAGACTAGGGACTAAATATCAATGAAAATAGTCAAATCCAAGGCTTCATGCATGAAGTTCTACTATTGAACTACAATCTCAACCTTTGGAGATTTTTTTCAGCTATTGAAATTGTTCCTAATCGGTTAGACCAAATCAATGCTTTGTCATTTTAAATAGAGTCTGTGTGGGTTTGAGTGCCATTGTACAGTTCCATGTAAATGAACAGAATACTTGAACTTAAGGTAGTTTGAAGTTCAGATGTCCTGATGGATGATTAAATATGTCTACAACATGGCAGTACTTTGTGTATGTTGGGGAGCTACAGTTGAAGGAGATGCCTTTCTCACGGTATTTTCCCAACATCTAGACAATGTGCACGATTTGGAATTTGGTGGTTACTGTTGTCTTGAGAAACATTAAGACGTAAATACTTTCAGCATGGCTACTCAGCAAGACAATATTGCAATAAAATGCTTGTTTATAAATCTAATCCTGAATGTGACATGAACAGAAGCAGTTTTTGATGGCTTCTTATTTGTTTTGCTTTCTGGCCCATGTTGGCTTCAAACTTTGGACCCTCTTGCTTTTGCCTCCCAAGTGCTAAAATTACACACCAGATATTTCACTTTTTAGTAAAGTGACCTTTGTTAATTTGCTCAGATACCTAATTTGTCCTTCAGGATGTAAGTTACTAAAGAAAAAGATTAAGATGTACTCAACCCAGAGCCTCCTTCCTTCTCTTGCTTGTTCTTCCTCTCCTACTTCTTCTCTTTCCTTCTTTTTTTGCTCTGTCTCTCACATGAAAGCTTAGTGGTATGGCTTATGACCTACCAGTGAACAAAGATGAGATTCTTCAACCTGAGATCTTGTTCATACTACTTTCCTTTGGCTAAATATCTGTTCCTCTAGATGTCAGAAATTCTGGAAGGAGCAAATCCCAGAGTATTTCTGATGCAAAGAGATGAAAGTTGGTATGGAATAAGGAAGGGACATTTATAAAAAGAGAAGTATATAGTAATGAATTCAGGTGGAAGATTTGACAAGTGTGTGTGTGTGTGTGTGTGTGTGTGTGTGTGTGTGTGTGTGTGTGGTGTGTGTGGTGTGTGTGTGTGTGTGTGTGTGTGTGTGTGTGTGTTGGTACTGGGGCTTGAACTCAGGTCTCAAACTCTACTCTCATTTGGCTTTTTCACTGAAGGCTAGTATTTTTACCACTTGAACCACACCTCCACTTCCAGTTCTTTCTGGTTAATTGGGGATGAGTCTCATAAATTTTTCTGCCCTAGATTACTTTGAACCAGGATCTTCAGATGTCAGCCTCCTAAGTAGCTAGGTGTGAGCTACCAGTGTCCAGATGAATTGTGACATTTTGACAGTACCTTTGCTTGTAGGAGCTGGAGAAATGTGATACACTTTTAAATGGCCTTTCTCCAAAATATTTAGCTTGGAGTTTTGATACTTGTGGATATCAAATTTTGCCTATCTTAAAATTTATGTAGCTCCTTTTTTCCTACTTCTAACACTGGGAACATGAAGAAATTGCAGAACATCCTATAGGCGTAGCTCTGCTCCTCTTAGGCAGCCTCACGATTCTCATTTCCCCCACAATTATTTTTTGACATCTGTTTCATCAGTAGTTACTTGCACTGATAATTAATGGTGAGGAACACAATTCTTAAGATATTAAACCAGTGTAGGGCTGGGGGATGTAATTATCCTTCAGCCATTTAACTAGCAACATATTCAGAGCCAATGAATTAACATCGTAATCCCCTGTCCCATTTCTTTGATTTACCCATGTGGAAAATTATGCTGTAATCTGCCCCTCTACTTAGACAGTAATTAATGAAGTTACTCTTCTATGTTTTCATTATAGCTGAAACAAAAAGCATAGCTGATTCTGTGTACACCTTAAAACATCTACAGTTGGCTTAATTAATCATCAGTGGTGGATTTGAGAAGTTCATAGATTGACATTGGCATGGTTTTTCTGGGGGCAATCTCTTTTTTTAAGTTCTCATGGGGTTGGGAGGAGACTCACTCAGCCAAGAAAAGGATTATATATTGTCAGGCAGTCTTGTAGAAT